GAAACACATTTCCCATCTTTACCAGCGACAAAATATGGTCTCTCCGCATCACTCTGATTCTCCAGTGTACGACGTGCGTGATCACAGGATAACAAGGCGTATTATCCTCAACTGTGGAGCGCCCACGAAGAGGGCAATGCCGAACCTGTCACTGAAATTCGCTACGAAGTGCAGTATTCCAGATTGCCAGGATAATACGACTTGCTATCCTGTGATCACGTCACTGAAATTCACTACGAAGTACAGTATTTGTCGAGCAGAATTCCACTCGATAATCCAAACATTTTCTCATCAGGCAGTTTGTCTGGATGTTAGGCAGCGTTCATACTTCGCGACAGCAGCGGCAATCGCCGCTATCGTCGGTACATGGCAGCACCCCCAACGCTATTACTTGCGCTCCGAAGGCTTTTGGGAAGAAGCGACTCAATTTCATGCTTTTTTCCCTTTAACTGCAATTTTCTTAGGGTACTGAAGCTTAATTTGGACACAAACGAAGAGGACACCAAGCTGTTGATCTTTGTTTCTCTTTCTTGATCCAGGATAGAAATGAGCAAAAAGCGTTAGAGCTTCATTTAGGGTAGGTTTTTACTGTTTCTTTTTTCATTCGTCGAGCTTATACATGAGGTTATAAAGTTTTCACCTGTTGATGTAGCGTAAATGATTGGTGTTTTGTTCCTAGATGTGGTTTCTTTTGTTTGCTTTTTTTTCTCGTTGTTTGAACTCGACTTAGTAAACTAATAATGTATTTGGGAAGGTTGGCCAGTTCAGACGATATGAACTGTTTAGGGCGCTTTGTATAATTGAAACAGATAGCAAAACAACAAAGGAACCACCCAGGAAATGAGTTGGCCTTATCTCACCTGAAAAGAAGTGAACTTCTTACCTCATATTCCAGATCCGCTTATGTATAGAAAGTCGTAAGTTATCAGTTAGTAGCCATTATTAAGAGAAAAGAAGGTCTCACAAGTTGGATTTCCTTATCAAGCGAGCAGTCCATAATAGCGTTGGGGCGCGCTCTGCCACGTACCGACGATCGCGGCGATCGCCGCTGCTGTCGCGAAGTATGAACGCTGCCTTAGGAGGAGAAAAAAAGGAAATGAATAGAAAGGAGGATGGGAATCGAAGAAGAAAGAAGGAAGGAGAGAAAAGGCGTCGCAGTTGGCGTCTCCTGAGATCACCGACCCCCCCCCTCGGCGGATTTCGAAATCATATTTAGAGCTCACCTATTTGGTATGACACCACCATAGTCTAATATTTTGAAATCATTTCAGGTATGTTCATGCGTCATGAACGGGTGTAATTTCCGGATCGAGCCCAACAGCTCGACTCCTTGCTACTTGTCTGTACTGGTAATTATTGCTCTTGTTATCATGTTACTGTGAATATGAAATCTACATGTATTCGATCACCACATACTTCTTTAAATTCTATTGTTAAGACAATTCCCGCGATCAAGTGCAACACGTACATAGCAGGTGCTCAGTCATGAACCAGTAGCCCATCAAAAACTCATCAGTAGAGAAAGAAGCGAAAAAAAAGTTCGGGAACACCCTGAGCACAGACCCCTCTAGCAGTGGGACCGGCGCCTTGGACGAGTTCATCATGAGGACAAGCCCAATCAGCAGGATTCTAGGTGCAACCAATTCCGGCAAGAGCATAGGAATCATCTTACGACGCTCCAGGCAACGCTATGTACAAGCTTCCGCTTGTTAGCCGTTGTCGAACAGAGTTACAGTACGCGGTTGCACCGGTTGCAAAACTCACGCGTCTCTAGCTTCGTTATCTCGCCATTTCGAGTGACGAAAGTGGTATATTCTCTGCGAGTGCGGACAACGATACCAAATGACGGAGGAATTTTGCTAGTCACTTGAACGCGGGAAGTGTCTTTAAATGTCTCAAATGTGCGATATCGATATCCGGTCCTTACTTTTATATCATGCATTCCAATGCTTGCTCTCCTCTGACAAATGCCTTGAAGAGTTTTTCTTAGAACAATTACTCCATTTATGACTGTTGTTTACAGGAAAGAGGAAATATTTTGTATGTCTAAGGAAGTTGAGAAGGAGGGGTGGGTGAGCGGGCGGGCCAGCGCGCACTTTTTCCTGCTCTTCCGCGCTCTCCCAGCAAGGATACGATATCGCTTTCAACAAGCGTAGCCTTGGCGAGCGCAGGCGGGTAGAGCGACGGTGTTTTCGTTGTATTAATCATAATAAAGACATTTTTTATTGCTCAGTCACCATCTTTGTTTTACGGCAGAATTCCGGCGATGAGAGCTAAACGTAACTCTCAGGTAGTGAGGATAGAAACAAAAGTAAATGATGTAGCTGTACGTTGCCACTCGAAGAAAACTTAAAAAAAAATTAACCTGAGTCCAAAACCTCCAAGAGAGGCCCTGTTTCTGTCGCGCAAGAGACAAAAAATCGGTTCGGATATAGGATGTGAGGCAGAGAAAGCAGCGAGAGAGTATGCAAACGAGCAAGACAGCAGATAAGACAGCCACCACTGTGGGCGGAGTCGCTCTAGCTGCCTCGTGCTCTACGGCCGCTACCTTATCACTTCTGTCGTGAATGTACAGTCCTCATCATTGCGGACCGGTGGGGCTTGTCAGCCAGTATGAGTGCACATTGTTGAAGCCGTTCTCAGCCTTTTAAAACGCGTATGCGACAAAAAGTGGTAGAAAACGAGTAATACCGAGGATATAATACAGTCATATCCTTTGCTCGATTTTGACTGTTGGAGCGGTTGTGGCACCCCGCGCAAACGCAGCCGCACTGAACCGCCCGACAGTACCTTAATGATGAGACCGGAAGTACCATGGTTTTTGTTTCGGGCCTGTCTTTGAGGATACTCGCCAGAATTTTTTGGCAGTTCTAGATCTATTTGTTGCCAAACCGAGTCGTTGGCTGGACTCTGTTGTTGAATTTTGGCGCTGCCGTTTTGACTCCGAATCGTCGCCCTCAGAAGCCTAAACACGGCTGAAGGTATAGGTGTTGCCCTCCTACCAACCACTTTGGCACAATAGTTTAAGAACTGCAAAGTCTACAGAATTGCCAAGGTTTTATGAATACGAAGTTCTACACTTCGCGTAAAAGTTCAGCTTAGTCTTGCGAAATTCAGTGGTGGTTGTTCTTTTAAAAGTTCTTTAATCTTGTAGGCTTACCAGTTCCTTGTCGTTCATACCCCATTCCAGTGCATGAAACGTTCTCTCTCCAACACTACTCAGCCTCTAGCTGGGCAAAGGAAAGCTCATAGATGGACTGCGAACTTTAATGATGATCATTTGCAGAGTAACGTGTCACTTCAACCTTGAAAGTTAGCCTTGAACTGTTTCATCAACACTAATCAGCGTCGTTTCCAAGCGATCGGCTTCCTCAATGGCACTTTCTGCTTATCAACAACTTGGAGGCACAGTCGAGACGATGAAATGCCATTTATTCAAAACTGGCAAACGGTACACAAGCTTCTGCATCAGTTGGCCCAACGGCAGAATTTATGGTTATAAAATAAGAGCGAAATTGTACAAGGAAATGTCGGCACATGCTAATATGCTCTTCATTTGTACGTGGCGGACGATGTAATGTGTTCCTGGTGAGTTCTGCCGTTGACAAATCACGCCCTGCAGCCGCCCCTGTGCAGTCTCTCCTTCGTGTGGAACTGATAGTTGTATTTCTCTGTGGATGCGAATATGAAGTTGCATCTGTATCTATTTGACCGCCCAAAAATTGGGAGCTACGTGAAAAAATCACATTGCGCGAACGGATAGCAAATACTGACTCATGTTGGAATGGATGTGACATGGGCCAGCAATTGCAGAGCACAACAAGTCAAACTGAAGCTCCACTCACAGTGGAAGGGGCGTTGGTCGAAGTGGACGGTGCAGAGCATAAAAGTTCTCGAAACGCACCCTGTGCAGCCCAGGAAGTGGGGAGGATATGAGTGAAAATCAGGAAAGGGTGGCCAGATGAAGGATGTAGGAAACATCCTTAATAAGTGAAATGTTACGCCGAATGGGCGTGCCTCCTGCCATAAGTCTCCAGCTATCGGTTCCGCAGCACATGAGAGTGGCAGCACTCGCGTGACCCAACGTATCTGCCAAGTGAATGGGGTAAGTATCACGCATCAAGCCCACGGACGGAGACATCAACGCCTGGATCGGCTCTCGCCAGCCCTGAGCTAATCAAGCAGTGTATCACCCGGCGGACAGTAGATTGGCTACGCCAGGTTCAATGCTGGGAGACAAGAACCTGAAATTGTTTTATGTCGGCTGGCCGCAGCAAGTCAATTTTATCCCTCTAAACATCTTATACCACCGTACTACATCCCATACGGGAATTTCACAAATATTCACCATGAAAGGAGAAAAGGGAATGTTCAGGCGTGATACTGATGTTTATGTCGGACCTTATTGAGTCCACTCCAAGGGAGGTCGATCAAGAGCATACACATTGACATCAAATAGCACTGATACTGTTTATGTCGGACCTTGTTGAGTCCACTCCAGGGAGGTCCATCGATCAAGGCTGCACTGACATCCCTTGCGGTGAACGATTTCACACAACGTTCAAGAACGGCTACCCTTTCCGGTCGGTAACCATGAGCCTCCTGGACAACACAGTTTGTTTGTCACCCATAAGCATAGCCAGTTCATCGTGCGATAAGCACTCGAAGAAAATATCTCATTTCCATTAGGAGATAGAACCTCGCGGCTTCAAATGTCTTGTGTCATTTTTATTTTGTTAATGTTGCTGTACCTCTTGAAGTTTTAAGATGGAACAATTAAACCATTTCTTAAGTTCGATTTATTGCAATCGATCAAGGTTGGATACATTGACATTTAGTCACTTGACTTCCTTAGCATGCCAATCCCAAGCAAACATTTATAATTGAGGAAACATTCCGGGAAAAAACAACATGTACTGCTGCATGATATGGCAAAACAACGATGTGAGTACTTTTTCATAAACCCTGCTCGAATACCGTAGTTGATAGATTAATAATAATTAGTTAGCTTTAGTCTTGCAAAGGTTAGCAATGTTTTCCAGTTGTTTAAGGTTCATGGCATAACCCTCGAAGTAGTCGTTGACCAGGTACGGCAGGTTGTTCTCGCGACAGAATTCCTTGACCAGCCTCATACATGTGTTCAGATTGCATCTGGGCATTGTCGGGAACAGATGGTGCTCGATCTGCAAAACGAATGTCATCAATCACGTACTTAGAACTTTGGACTAGAGAAGCTAGAAAGCGCGGGATAGAAATTTTCAGTGTTTCAGCAGAATCTCATCAAAATCCAGAAAAAACTGGAGTAGTCGTTGAAGTTGAAATTTGCTGTTGAGCACTCAGATCGCCATGGGGCCGTGGTACAGCACAATCAGGACACTCCTTGAAATTTTTTTCGAAATACGACCCCCTCGAAATTTCGTCCTATGGTACGAACCCGTTCCCACCTACATTTTCCCAGCTGCCCACGACGTTTCCGGCGTTTTTTTCCAGAAGTTCTCCACTTCTCAGCAAAAAAACTGCCGTAGAGCGATGGCGGTATACAGTGCATTTGGAACCTTTGACGACGGACGGAGAGCCTTTGACAAGCGAAAACATTGGGCTCCGTTCTCAAATACGCCCCCAACCCTCCCTCCAGCGACCGAATACGACCCCTTTGTTGCGAATTTCCAACCTACGACATGCACTGAGCACGGTGCTCAGAAAGTGCTTCACATTTTATTATGTCGTTGTAGATATTCGACGACCACACAGACTACTTCCTAACTTCCTAAAACTACTTCCTAACTACTTCCCAGGAGTTCCTAACTAACTGAACATGCTGCAGCAGTTCCACCTTAAAGGAACGCGATGACCTATGAAAATAAAATACTGGGGAAGGTAGTGTGGAGGAAGGTAGTGTGGTCCGCAGTGAACAACGTTGTGCCACTTTTACGGCCAAAAGTTGTAAGGTGTAGAAGTTATGCTGCAAAATTGCTCCAGTGGTACCTCTCTTTTTCCAGTGACTCCGCCTCCAGGTTCCGCCTCCGAAGCCCGTCTCCCAGCCAAAAGCGATGCTACCGGACATATAACTAGAAATGGATGCTACATTAACATGGATCATTACAGCAAACTGGAAGGCGCTACGCAGCGCTCATTCCAAGAAAGGTACCCTTATAAGGACCCTATCAAGCTACAACATACCGACCCGAACGCCCACCACGCCCGCCCGCCCACAAATGGACGACCGTTCCTGACGCTCGTATTTCATTTGCTAAGCAAATTATGAAGCGAAGGGATTGGTATGAAGCGGCCGTGATGCTGCATGAATATATGAGAACACACATGCTGCCGTATCAACCGTAACGGTATTGACAAGATGCCTATGGGGAACTCGTCCGAAATTGATTTCTAAGTCATTGAGAACGAAGGCTTTTTCTTCGCAGGATTTTGACCGTTTCACTCCGTTCTTTCGCCATTTTCCCCACTATATAGCGCCCTGCTAGCATTTTAGGCCAAGCACCAAATTATCGTGCCAACTGCCTTCAAGGATTCCCTGTGACAACGTTTTGAGCACTCAGCTCCTCCTCAGGTCTACGAAATGCACACGCAAACTGGTTCTCCCGAGGTGCCCAGCTACAGCTATCATAAGATGCGCATCGAAGGGAGGGGGAAGGGTGGGTGGTGCTGGAAAAACGGTTCTTCCGGGATTCTCGGAACATTCTAGAGTTAAGTCCAAATCTTGAGAACACACACCATATGTGACTCAACCACAGGCGCTTTTGTAAGTTCCCCATAGGGGCTCGGTTGACTGGAAATTGTGGTTAGGATTGCTCACCTATGAACCTGTGTCCAATACTTAATGGTGAAGCGCGCTTTTCACATCAGACGACTGAGTTACTTGCCTCCAAATATAAGCGTGACCTAACCATCCACGCACCTCTCTTGCTGCTCTACATTTCAACAACACTTACCTGATAATTCAATCCTCCCCAAATCCAATCGGTAATTGGTCCAGGTGTCATGTTACGGGTCGTGAACAGTTGAAGACAGGCAAAGTTATTGAGCAGACGAGAGTTTGCTGTAACATTAGACCCATTAATATACAAGTATAAATGCTAAGTAATGTTATTCAAATCATTAATCGTAGAACTTAATTTGTTTCAGCTCTGATAGGAAGTGGTGTGGCGCTGCAAGTTTAGTTGCTGTTCAGAGTTCCTCCTTAGACAAGTAATCCTGCTCGCAAGCAGAGAGGACGTGGCTCTTTCGCAATTAAAAAAATCTGAGGAAAGTGCGACCCCCCCTACGCAGTTACCGGCCGCGCGCCGCAGTGGTTACCGCACGCGCCCGACATTCATTTCATGGTAGTGTGGTTTTTCCGCTTCTAGCCCTCTCCATTTCGAATGGTGGCAGGTAAAAGAGCTGAAACCAACAGGTGAGGAACTCGTCCGACCACGCCCCTTTCGCCTTGTGCACGTACAAGCTTGCTTAAGCATGGGGATCCAGGATGGATGATTCTAGCGAGTTTCTTTCCTTCTTTTTTCCTTCATGTCTGGTCAATTTCTGGTGGGCGTGAAAGGAAAAGAGAGCAAAGACAAGAAAAGCCACGTTCCTGTAGGATCCCACGGCTGCGCATTATTAGCCAACCAAAGACAGTAGGCCGCGTGCTAGCTAGGAGGGGAGGCGGTGGCGCTACTATTATCGCCCCCCGCCCAGGTCGCGCTGATCGGATTCGAAAAGTTTGGCTGAAAAAATTTGCTGTTCCGAGAAAAAGAACAAGTTTGAGTCACCTGGATATTTGTCCACAGAATTATGACTGAAGGTTACAACATAGGCGATGAGGAAAGCGGATAGCAGTTGAGAAACGGCAAAATACATTATACGAACACCCATCGAAGGAAGCAGGTAGAGTTGAAGTAGAACCCAAGCCCAGTGGGCCATTAGCAATGTCTGAAACATTTGGTGAGAAATTCGTAAACGAATGATTCACTATTTCAATAACCATTGGTATTCTATTAGGTTGGACGGACAAGTCTTGTGACACTTTGATTGAATTGTTCTAGAAAAAGACCAAAAAACATTCGAATGTTTTCATCCCTGATTAGTGGAGACTGTCCTCTGGGGTTTCTGCAAATGGGTATATCCATGACTTTGTGGAAGTTTTCAAAGCCTAAAAGTCCCTCAGAGATCGAGGTACTTTTCTAAAAGTCCCTCTGAGATCGAGGTACTTTTCGACCCGTATCATGAATTCCTGTAGGGCCACTCAGCCGTAATCGAGGAAGCTAATACCTGGAAGTGTTTGCCATGGCAGAGAGTAGCTTTTGCATCAGCGCTTCCAAGCTGGACTTATTTAATTCGGAAGTAGGCAATGTATAGGTCGGCCACCAGCACAGAATGACGGCCCTTTACTCAAGCTTCTTGAGGCGCAGCCGAACGTAACCACCAGTAAGTTGGCAACCTCTCTAGGCTCCACCTAACTGACAACTGCCATGCTTCTCCGCAATCTCGGTTATCGGGAAAATTTTTGTGAAGGATGCCTCAGTTGGACCCGTCTGACAAGTCATACCGAATGACCGTGACTGAGTTTTTTTCTTTTGCTTGTACACACTGGAAGAACATTTGTGAGATCTTGTGGTTGGTAGCGAGTGGTGGAGTCCTTGCGTAAACTATGCACACATCCCTCGCAGGATCTCTCAAGGAGAAAAGTAGATTGCTTAGCCAAAAGCAGATGTGCATGGAATAAAGATTTCAGTGTGTTATTGGTGGGACTTCAAAGCGATGTCGCTGGGTACTGGCACAGCAATGACGGCCACAGTCCACACCAATCATTCAAAATATGGATGACGTCACGCTTGAATTCATTCAGAAACACTCAATTTTTCTCTACTACTCGGCAATGCTGGGGATCAGGCTACGCCAAAAGATCATGGATCTCGATCAGAGAATGAGACCTCTTCTTTTTATCATAGTTGCCGTAGTTTCATGAGAATGGAAATGAGAAGCTGTGCAAAAGATGGGCACTAGTCCTAGTCATCAACTGCGGTTACCTTGTAGATTGGAAGTGTCTCTTCAGTGAA